GTTGGGACAGCTCTGTTCGTTTTATTACCTACAAGGGACAAAATCAATACGGACCAGACCATACTGTATACAGTAAAAAAAATTAGGCTGCTCTCTGCCAGGAAGACAAAATATTTACGTGTCGTAACTGAAATGCTTTCCCACAATGGCATCCTGGCAACCTGCTCATCACAAATTCAATATGCTGATGTTCTTCAGGGCAAAGCACTGGCTCAGTAGTTAAGATATTAGGCTTGTCAGCTGGAAAGCTGGCAGCCCAGATGCAAGACCCGAGCGCCAGGCGATGGAGCGAGCTCCTGTCCTCGTCCCAGCTCCTGCCAGCCGAGCCGTTCAGAAGCATGCAAATGCAAGTAGATAAATAGGTGCCCACACAGCTCCGGGACATCATGCTGGCCACATGAGCGGGGAAACATCTTTGGACAGCTCTGGCTCAATGGCCTTGAGATGGGGAGGAGCACCGCCCCCTACAGACGGCAATGACTAGGGGGGCAAAATCCACAGGGGCTCCTTTACCGTTACCTTATACTCTTCATACCTGAAATCTTACTGTACAATTCGGAAAGCCCCACTACTTATTCTAAAAGAGTGCTTACCAGATACTGCAAAGTCCCAACAAAGGATGTGCAGAGACTGCCTTGATCCAATTCTTTGGCATAGCCCAAGTCAATGATCTTATGTATTAACTAAAGAAAAGCACAAGGATGACATATGTGAGCATGCTAAGAATGCTGGGAGAGAGAGATGCAATGTATGGTCTGGGTTCGCTCAACTCTCTAAGGCCAAGTAGGCTGGATTATTATTTAACATGTTGTGTAAAATCAGCTAATACGATTGGTAAACCATGTTTTATACTGCAGAAGGTGGCCTAGACACAGACTATTGTAGATTATTCAATACATTATAATCAGTATCTTGTATAAATATAACTGCATTTTACTGCAAACCTTTAATGGGAAGTGGTGTATCAATTATTTAAAACAACCACTCCCTGGAAAGATACAATTAAATGCCTCTGGCAAGACCACAGAGTTGTCTAGAATCCTAACCCTTTCTTGTCACAGGAAGGGGGCCACCGAAGTGATGTACAGCATGGCTGAATTTGGAAAAAAGATCCACAAAAACCAGCCTGCCTACTAAAGCTGAACAGCAAGATCTCCATACAGTGTTATCTTCCAAAAAGTTTCTGTTACAGTACCTCACCATAAAGCACTATGCACAGTTCAAAACATACTGTGCAACAAGTCAAGAACTGAGCAAGAGGGAAAGCGCTGAGTAAGAGGAAAAAGGTTCCTAAGCCCTTTGTACACAACTCAAAGAAAGCAGCCCTGAAAGTATTGTTTACACCACCCAGATGGGTGGCCTTCAACTCCCAGAATTTGCTAGCCAGCAACCCTGACTGGGGAATTCTGGGAGTTGAAGTCCACCCATCTGGGTGGTTGAGGTTGAGAAACAGTGAATTATTTAATTAAGCAAGCGAATGAGCATAACTACCTCCAGATTCCATTTCCTTCTTTTTTTGACTAAACGTAAGAGGTCCATCTCTAAAGAGTGAGTAAAAGCCATCCTCAGCCTTCCCCTTATATTTGACAGAAGGGAAGAGCTATGTCTAACCTCCTGCACCTTATGAGGAATGAGGAAACATACCAGAAGAATCCACTCACCCTCTCTTCACCTTGTTGCAAAACTATGTTCTCTGGTTTCAGGTCTCTGTGAATGATTCTGTTCTCATGAAGGTAACGCAGGGCTGAAGCTGATATTGAGAAAAAAATGACAACCAACCAAGTCCATCATATTAAAGAAATACGCCACTCTGTTTTCAGACAAACTGAACCGGGTTCAGAAAGGTAAGTCAGGTGGATCAAAGGAACAGAAACCATGGTTTACATGGAGAGACTGAAGAAGCTGGGTTTGCTTAGGTTTGAGAAAAGATGGCTCTGGAGAAGCACTTCTTGAGGATCTCTTACTTTAGATTTGGCCCCCAATATCTGACACTTACCAATGTCTGATAATAAAATGTGGATTTCTTTCTCACGTAGGCCACAGCAATTCTCAAACTGGTTCAGATGCTATGGAAGAAGAAGAAAATAACTTATCTCTATATAAGTTTTGCATTTTGCAGTATAGCCAAGTAATTCTGTTTTTTTTTTCACGAATCTGTCACTTCGTTCTACAAGGGGAGATCTGTCAACTAACAAATAACATTTCCAGAACTGACTTTCAGAACTATATCAAGTCTAAATGTCTATGAAGATTCTCAGTCATCCAGGTCGTGTCCCAAAGGTACTTTAAAGTACAGTTGGAAAAACTTTACAAAACAGCATACTAGAGCCAGCCTAGCTATGCTGACTCAGGAATTCTGGGAGTTGAAATCCACGAGTCATAAAAGAGCCGAGGTTGCCTACCCCTGGTCTAGACCCATGCCAGATTTTCAGGCAAGACCCTAATGATGCTCTGGAAAGTGAAAAGTATTTTCATTTCTTTCTGACGTGCAGTAATATAGGTGCCAAAAGACTCACCCTTCTAAGATCTCCTCCTTGACAATATTCCATAGCCAGCAGTGGCAAGTCATTGGGGGCAACACTTTGCATGCCTTCTGGAACATCACGGGCAGCCACCACATTGGGATGGTTTAAACTATGAGAAATAAAACACATAGAGAATACACAAAAGCTCGTGCAACCCTGGCACTCCACTTTAAAGCAATGACTTTATTGAATGCCTGTATATATTCAATGCTTTACATATATCTCAAAGGTTAGATTCTCTCAGAAATAGTCAAAATTGGCAACCCTGGATGCATGTCAGCGCCATCACTGTTTCTATTTTCATAGGCTGAGGGTCTTGAGATTTGGCTCTACCAAGGTGGGACGTTGGGTTTAAGACAAAATAAGTAATTCTTTTTTTCAAATGACACACAAGGAGGCTCCACACTTTGGATCAAGTTAGCCGTGCCATCTGGTATTTGACATCGGCTAAATAAATACTTATGCAACAGGATTATAATCTTCCTGATAATTGCTAAATCAAATGACTACTTCTCACAATATTTGTGGAAACTTGTGTTTTACAGTATTACTCACCGTTTCATGATCTGTATTTCCAAACACCATCTTTCTCTGTTGCGGAGGCTCAGCTCCTGACGACACTGTTTGATTGCAATTTGCTCTCCAGTTTCCTATAAAAAGAGGAATTTTTTTTGTTCTTTCTCCAACAATGCAAATACAATGTGAAGACAGTTAAGCCCTCAGGAACTGTAGCAGAAGTGTTAAGCTAGCTTTATACTTCATGTAAGCCATGATATGTTTTAGTCACGATTTATCTTTGAGATGCACCACTATATAAATTTGATAAATATTAAATAAACTATGGCAGTCAGTTTATACATAAATCTTAGTTAATATTTGACTATATCAAACCCATATAAGCTACTTTATGGCTTAGCATAATGAATGAACTCTGCCAGTGTGCTAGAGGAATATCAAAAGATCTTGTTAAATCCACAACAGCCCTTTGATAATTACTTTGATATTTCATATTGTGACAGAATGTTTTTTTTATTTTCTTGTTCCTCTTCTCTCTATCATCTTTCACTAGAGAGCCTCTTGTTAGGATCTGTAGAGATCCATGAGACAGTCATTTTCTCCCACCAATCTGTCATTAGCAGAGAAACAGATCCTTTGGGAGGTAAAATCACATGCTTTCTTGCTGAAATCCCCAGATCCACCCTTACTGTCAGCCTGGCAATTCTTACATTACCTTGCATAGAATAGAGGACACAACTTCAGTATGCTTTCTCCAATCTGACTATTAAGGATGGTTGACAACCACCCTATTGCTGACAATGATGGAGCTGTAGTGAATATCTCTGGAAAATGTCAAGTTGAAGTAAGCTGAATCCATGTTACATATAATTTGGCCAAGTTCTCTTTTGTCAAATGGTGTTTCCATTACCCCTTTTCTGTTGCTTTAGACTTCACTTTCCCTTTCTCTCTTCCTGAATTAAAGCTTTTATGGCCTTATGGTTATATCAAATATATGGGGGAAAAAAATCAAAGATAACATTTCACACAATATGAGACGAGAATTCTGGTTCCTGCAAGCTTCCATCACAATAATTTGGAAGAGCAATACATTTAGGGTTTTCTATTGGCATTGTGAAATCTAATCTTAGCTATGATTTGAATTTCTTTTTTGTTGACAAAGAGTTAAAGAGTTAAATGGGAGACTAGAATAGCTATGTCAAGCTTATTAGCTCCCATCAGCTAGCCATATCCTTTATGGGTTTGAATCCCATAAAGGGTATGGCTAGCTGATGAGAGCTAATAAGCTTGAAATAGCTTTGTCAACAGAAAAGAAATTCGAATGTGTGTATGTGTGTGTATGTGTGTGTGTGTATATATATATATATATATATTCATACATATCTATATCTATATGAGGTTGATAAATAGGTAGATAGATAATAATGGATAAATACAGATAGCAATATATAATATAGATTACACACGCACACACACACATTCACATATATACACATATTTTTAAATTCTCTTTTAATATGGCTGACTTTTAAAACCCCTCTCAGAGGCGGGGTGGGGGGAGGAGTAAGTATGTGACCCGTAAGTGAGGGCGAGAATTGGCAGGAGCACCAGGAAGGGGAAAAGGAAGCTGGGCAAGGAGGCCCCCGACCCAAAGCCCCCGCTCTGCGCCCCTCTATCCCCGGGTGGGGGGGGGGGAAAGGAGGGGAGGGGAGGAGCCCCACTGCGGCTCGAGGGCGCGACGGCCTCCCCCTCCCTTTTCCCGCCAATCCGCGTCAGGCAGGCGCGTGCGCGCGAGCGAGCGAGGACGCGCGCGGGGCCCGCTCACCTTGTGCTGCCACCGGATGACGTTGCCGAAGCCGCCGGTGCCCAGCCGCTCGCGCATCTCCCACGGGCCGCAGCTGCTCAGGGGCTGCAGAGGCGCGGGCGGCGAGGGCGAGGGCGGCGGCGGCGGCAGCGGCATGGCTGGGCCGGAGGAGGCCGGCGACAGCCTGAGGAGAAAGCGTTACCGCCTCAACAGCAGCAGCAGCCGCGCTAGGCCACTTCCGCGTCGCGAGGAGGAAAGAGGGCGGGAGCAGCTCCGGAGGAGGCGGGGAGCCGGGTGAGCGAGGCCCGGCGTCGGGGTCGCGCTACGGACGAGGGAAGGCCCGCCGAGGCTCCAGGCCGCAGCGCCCTGGCCTGCCACTAGAGGGCAGCCAAGAGCCGAGTTCTTGAGAGGCTGGGCTGCCCCCTGTTGGCTAGCAGAGGCTTTGCAGTCGCTGCCAGCCCTAAGGTGGACTCTGCAGGTTTAGAAGAGCACAGGTAGTCCTCGGCTTAAAGTAGTTCATTTAATGACCGTTGGAAGTTACCTGTGGCCCTGGAAAAAGTGATGGGATAATTTTTCACGCTTATGAATGTTGCAGCATCCCAGGGTCATGTCATCAAAATTCAGGCCCTTGGCAACTGACTCATATTAATGACGGTCTCAGTGTCCCTGGGTCATGTGATTTGCAATTTTCTGACAAATGAGGAAGCCAGATTCATTTAAGAAACAGGTTGCTCCTTATCAACTGCAGTGATTCACTGTGGCAAGAAAAGGCGAAAAATGGGGCAAAACTCATTTAACAAAGGTTTCATTTAACAACAGAAATTTGGGGCTCCATTGTGGTCGTAAGTCAAGGATTACCTGTACTACAAAACCAGATTGGCTTTGGCCTGCTTTCAGAGAAACGGCTGGTGCAATTGGGGGTCTGAGTGGAGGGACCTGCAATTGCCCACCCTTTTCAAGTGGGTTCACACAACCTGCTGAATTCGAAATCCAGGTTAGCCAGTATGTAATAGCCAAACCAGCCAAACATATTTTGCTCTGCTCTGATTCACTTTGCAGATTAAGACAAAGTTTGGATTCTCAAAACACGCTGAATCACAATCACCCCATCTTGTTTTGATCTTGTACAGCAGGTTGTTCAAATGTAGCTACTGACTCAAAAATCTGCCAGCAACATTGTATCAATCCAGCCATAGCAGACATGTCAAACTCGTGACGTCACGCGCGCGTATCAGAACTTTTTCTTCATTGCCTATGACTGGAATTGGACATTTTTCATTGGAATACCATACTGTTTATTCCCTATCTACATGAACCATTGACGGAACATCTACAAAAATACAGTAAATAACAGAAAAAGAATCTGTCAAGGTTCTAACCAAGCTGTGTGAGCAAAACTGAAAAACAACAAAGTGCTCAACCAATTGGAAAAGATCATTTAATCTACAACATTTTGGCACATATTTGATACTTTTCCATAGTATCAATTGTAACACTAGGCATGTGACAAGCAATTGCAGACTCCGGTTCTTTGTGTTTTTCTTCAGTTGTTTCGCCTAGCTTTTTGCCTTTGAATAAGCAGAGGTTGGAAATATTACTCCTTTTGTTTCTAAACCCCAGAGGGAAAGAAAAAGAGAGAGAATTTATTTCATTGTCGCTAACCTATGAGAGAAACTATGGCTGCACCTCCCCACTTGGCCTTCTCGTGGCACTTTTGCTCTCTTTCCAGTAAGTTTCACGACTCGGTTTTAGAGAATCCAATCTATTCAGTTCCATGATTTTTTTCTAATCGGATTAACAGGACACTTGCTGCCCAGAGAAAACTGGCTGCTTGATTCCTACTCAGCATGAACTGTCTCCTAGCAGCAGCCTTTGAGTAAAATGGCAAGCATTGTAACTTGAAACATAGTGTAGTCAACAAAGCAATGAAACCAAGGCTGCCTAACGTCTTCGTCACAAAAGCAACCAGGCAGAAAGGCGATTTCTGAGGAAACAAAATTGTGCCAGGAAAGGCCAGATGGACACATGCAGTGTATTCCAAGAGTGAGTCAATTGTCCCACTGGTGGGATGTGCTGCAGTAGTATCCATAGGCTTCTCATTGCAAAGAACTCTGGAATTCTATTGTTTAGTTTAACAAATGAATCAAAAGCCTGATATTCCAAAGGAAATATTAAGCCACGAAAAGTGCAGAGCACAGCTAGAGAGTTTCCTTGGGAAGCACACGGTGATGCTCCTGTTGTCATTCCTATCTCCCCCCCACTTCAAGCATTGTGGGACTTAAATGTGACCCTCTTTCTCCAGGAATCCAGAAGTAGAAGTAGCAGCCCTACAGATTCTGATCAGCACATATCTTCCGCAGTTGTCTTCCTTGATTCTTTTTATTTTAATAATTTCCCACTCTATTCATCAGTTTATCCACCAGATGGCACCTTTGCACACTTCCATAGGCTCCAAAGGAAAGGCGCTAAGGATTTTGGTTTTGTTGAGCTCTTCCCAGTTCTTCTAATTTGATCATAAATGGCTTCCCTGCAAAAGAAGATTGAAACAGGAAGGAAAAGAGAATATATAAAAACAAAACACTTTCTCAAATGCCAGTTTCTAAAACTTGGTAAAATGCCAGTTAAACAAAAAGTTTTAATAAGCTGCAAAGGACATACAGAAGACCATCTCTAAGACCATCTCTGTATAACATTTTTGGAAATACTATGGCATGCAGTCCTGTGCCCTTTTCCAGTGTCTTGCCTTTTTTTCTTGTTTAGAAATTAGCTAGTGGTCCTAAAAGTAGCATTTAAACTACAGTACTACATTGTCCTTGGTTTCAAAAGGTTTTATTTTACATCCCTGTTTGATTAATTCATTCATTAAGTGCAAGTCGAATGACTCAGTCCAAAGAAAACTGAGGAAAAGCATAATTTTGGATCCCGTCATTTGTAAGTCATTAATCTAAATAAAGTGTGTAGTCACCAAGGGATTGGAACTTATTGGGTAAATTATTGGCTAAGGTCCTGAGCTTTGGGAAATGCTGGCTGGATTGAAGAATTACTTGGAATGTAGGAAGTGAAATAGGAAACTTACAGTTTTATAGCTTCTTTTCTTTCTGTATTAAAAATGTTAACCTGATAACGAGAGCATTAGTGTTTTAGAGTCCCAAGAGTAGATTTTCCATCATCCTGCACAGGTAGTCCTTGATTTATGACCACAGTTGAGCCCCAAACTTCTGTTGCTAAATAAGACATTTGTTAAGAAGAAGAGGGGGGTCAAATTATTCTCCAAAGCACCAGAAGGCAAGACAAGTAACAATGGTTGGAAACTGATCAAAGAGAGAAGCAACCTGGAATTAAGGAGAAACTTCCTGACAGTGAGGACAATTAACCAGTGGGACAGCTTCAGAAATTGTGGGCGCTCCATCACTGGAGGCTTTTAAGAAGAGACTGGACCGTCACTTGTCTTAGATGGTATAGGTTCTCTTGCTTGAGCGGGTGTAATCTTGCTTTTATTTGTTTATATACTTAGTTGTTTGCTTTGTTATTGCTTTCATTGAAACATTTTAACCTGGTTACTGACTTAACTCATTTGCTGGGCTTGCACAAAGCACTGAACATTCTGAATTCACAACTACTTTAAGCCATCAATAAAAGAAAACTGAAGTAAAAAAAACCCCACTGTGCTTAAAATTAATCCAGCTTGGCATATTTACACGTGCAGTTCCAGATTCTTTAACTGATCCAATTAACTATGTTAACACTTCAGTCTATATCCCACTTTTCATTTCAGATTGGACACCCAGGGCAGCTCAGAGACTAAAACAAAAAACTAGATCCGATGAAGAAGACTATTTAATCCAGGACTTTGCACATACAGAGCTACAGAATCAGAATGGGGAAATGCCAACCTGCAGGTAAGATCCACTTACACTCCCCAACATAGCAGATTGCCTTAAGAAGAAATACAAGGGGGAAAATATACAAATATAATTTTAGAAAACCTAGTTGCTGTGTGGGAGATTCTGAGGGCTATTGCATTGTCCCCCTGCCTCCAAATTTCTCATGGAATAATTATCATTTTTATTCTAAGCTACTTTGAATTTTTTTTTCAATGGACCCAGTCCAGATAGTCCTCGACTTAGGACCACAGTTGAGTCCAAAATTTCCATTCCTAAGCAAGACATTTGTTAAGTGACTTTTGCCCAATTTTATGCCCTTTCTTGCCACAGTTATTAAGTAAATCACTGCAGTTGTTAAGGTAGCACGGTTGTTAAGTGAATATGGCTTCAAGCATTGACTTTGCTTGGCAGAAGGTCACAAACGGGGATCACCTGAACCTGGGACACTGCGACTATCATAAGTAGGAGTCAGTAGCCAAGACTCCGAATTTTGATCACGGGACCATGGGGAGGCTGCCATGGTCATAAATGTGAAAAGCAGTCAGATTTTCCAGTGCCGTCGTAACTTTAAACTGTCACCTAAATGAATGGTTGTAATTCAGGGAATAGCTGTATCCAAATGAAAGGGAAAGAGAAAGAAAGAAAAGTGGGAAGAGGAGACAAAGAGTATGGTATGAGTGATGGCAGATTAATGAAGGATGTCAGTGGGATGTGTGTATAAGAAAAAGAGTGCAGTGGGGCCACATTCCATCGCACCACTGGTATGTAGCCTCCAACTGGTTAGCCCCCTGAAAGGAATGCAGTTCCTTGGGTGAGAAGGAATTTTTCTTACCCCTCCAGTGGACTTTGTAAATATTCAGGTTTTTCTCCCGCTTAGTAGTACTGTAACTGCTACCATCCTGGGGTGGGATCCTGGGATAGTTACCTTTGTCGGTAATTCCAAAAGCATGTGCTGGTACTGTAACTGCTACCATCCTGGGGTGGGATCCTGGGATAGTTACCTTTGTCGGTAATTCCAAAAGCATGTGCTGGCTGCCTCCTGCCTGCCAGAAATTGCAGGAATGTCTCTAATTAGCTGGTTGATTGGGAGGGGGTCGGGGAGGTTGACCTTTGGCTTTGGCTGCTATGGGAAGGAGTTGTTGAAATAAGAAAATGTGAGAGAGGTGCAGAAGAAAGAAGCAGAGAATATAAATGTCAACTCCCCAACTCAAACTTGGCAGAAGCTCTCCAGACTCTCAACACTGGCAGCTAGATAGGAATCCTTAATCCCTTCTCGGAAGCCGTCTCATTGATAAGAGAACACGGTTATTTCTTATACCTACGCCAGGAGAAATTGGGTATCTAAATCTATTTCCAATGGCTCAGTGAACTCCTTGCTATGCGCTTTCTAAGGGTTAATAGGGCTGGAAGGAACTTCGGAGGTCATCTAGTCCAACTCTCTGCCCAAGGCAGAAGACCTTATAGCATGCAGGTCAAATGGCTGTCCAGTCTCTTCTTAAAAACCTCCAGCAATGGAGTACTCACAATTCCAGGAGGCAAGTTATTCCATTGTTTAATTGTTCTCATTGTCAGGATATTTCTCCTTAGTTCAGAGCTGGATTAGAACTCTGAGAACTGCAGGCTAGTAAAGCCAATGGTGATGGTGCATCATAATTATGGGAGTTCAAATCCAATAGAGCTGGAGATAGAGGCAGTTGTTTGAAAAGTAGCATCTTGGTATTTCTTTGAGTAAAACTGCATGTCTCGTACAATTAGTGCCTATGACATGACTAGCCCTGTTGGTAACAATTTGGAACATCCTAACATTCCAATACAATCATTGCTAAAGCACAAAAAGTTAACATGCTGTGCCACAGCTTCAGGAAACTCTTAATGTACCTCTTCCTACCTTCTCTTCCGCTTTTTATGCTATTCCCTGTGCTGATGTGTCACTCTGAGACACATACAATGGCAAGTCTTATCTCTCAATGTTGGGGATTTAGGGATGTTACCTGCACAATATCCTGTTCTCTTCTATGAAATGGCAATGATTATTTCACTGTCTCATGAGATTAGAAGCAAAGGTCACAGTGCAGAACCTGGCTAATATTTTCTAAATTAAATATGGATGAATTAGTCTAGTGAAAAGAAGGACTGGGGGAAACATGATAGCAGTGTTCCAATATTTGAGGGGCTATTACAGAGATGAGGGGGGGTCAACCTATTTTCCAAAGCACCAGAAGGCAAGACAAGAAGCAATGGATGGAAACTAATCAAGAAGAGAAGCAACCTGGAACTAAGGAGAAATTTCCTAACGGTGAAAACAATTCACCAGTGGAACGGCTTGCCTTCAGAAGTTGTTGGTGCTCCATCACTGGAGACTTTTAAGAAGAGATTGGACAGCCACTTGTTTGGAATGGCATAGGGTCTCCTGCTTGAGCAGAGGGTTGGACTAGAAGATCTCCAAGGTTCCTTTCAATTCTGTTATTCTATGTTCTATGCTCTGTGCACTTGACTGAAGCATAAGCAGAGTGAGTAGAGGAAAAATTTAACCTCCCCACTTGGTTAACACCCCTGAATTGATTAAAAACTAAACCCCTGTTTCTTTCAAGTTAAAAATATCGAAAGATATGTTGATGCAACTTCTACCAATTCATTACTGATAATATAAATGCTGCATACAGCTTGGCACTGGATTACTTATGAGACCATCTCTCCCCAGAGAGTTGAGTGCCACCAGACTCAGGATCATCCAGTGATGCAGACTTTTGCTGTATCGGCTACTTCCCAGAATGGACATTTGACAAGGAACAAATAACAAAGTGGGTGTGTGTAGACAAGAACATTTTTTCAGATGTGTCTGTCTGTATCTGCCCGGGAAATAGCTTATTAGATGCTGTGTTGCAGAGATAAAAGTGCTTGATATCATCCAACTTCATTATGGAAAGTGAACTTCTGAAAATATCACAGATTACGCAGGTCTAAATTACGTATTTCTTTAATATCTCTTCTGAATTGGGAATTGGGTCATGGAATTTTGTAGCACTTCACAGTGATGAAACAGATTAGAATAAAGTACATTTGTGGGCAACTAATAATTTCCTGGGTTTGGTTTTTACAAAAAGCAGATTGGAAAGAAGCAATAAAATCCAACAAGGCCGCCAAGAGTTTCAGCTATAAACTCTTTAGTTTAATATAAGCCTTTTCTGGAACAGTTTATCACGTCAGATTGCTGCCCTGTTTTCATTGCTCTGACACATCACAGGGGGCCTTGGAGATTGCCTGTGCAATTGGAATGGGACTTCTTACGTTCAAATGTAAAATTGGCTGATAGGGAGGTCTGGTCAAGTTCATTGCCTGTCTTTTCCACCACCTAAGTAACTTCAATGCTTCAATGCACGTAGATCTGTCCTGGATCTTTGTCTAGATCTTCAGACAAAGTGGCCATTGGGATGAGGAATGTAGTCCAAAATATCTAGAAGCCACCAAGTTGGAGATGATTGTGTTGAAGTGCAATGTGAATTCATACTTACTTTCCAGGGGAATGCCTAAGCTCTTCTGTTGTAACAAATGTAAAAAAGACTTAAAAGGTAAAAAAAGCAACAGTTTCCCCTGCCTAATCATGTCCAACTCTGTGTGTGTGTGTGTGTGTGTGTGTGTGTGCTCCATTTCCTAGCCAAGGGAGCCAGCATTGTTCACAGACACTTCTGTGGTTACGTGGCCAGCATGACTATATGTGGAGGCACACAGAACACTGTTAACTACCCACCAAAGTGATCCCTATTTATCTACTTGTCCCAAAGGCGTTTTGTCCAAAAGGCAAATGGACTTTCTTGGGTTGTTTTTTTTTTCTTTGAAAATGTTTCACTTCTCATCCAAATAGCTTCTTCAGTTCAGTTGAAGAATCTTTTGGGATGAGAGGAGAAATGTTTTCAAAGAAAAAAAAACACCCAAATAAGTTCAGTTGCCTTTTGGAAAAGTATCTCTGAGATGTGTTGACAAGTGCTGAAGCAATGGATTTCCTACATCAATAGGGTCTCAGTGTATACTGAATAGAATACAGCTGGAAGGGACCTTGAAGGTCTTCTAGTCCAGCCCCCTGCTCGAGCAGGAGAACCTGTACTATTTCAGACAAGTGACTGTCTATAGTCTCTTCTTAAAAACCTGCAGTGATGGAGCGCCCACGATTTCTGGAGGCAAGATGTTCCACTGGTTAATTGTCCTCACCGTTAGGAAATTTCTCCTTAATTCCAGGTTGCTTCTCTCCTTGATTAGTTTCCATCCATTGTTTCTTGTCCTGCCCTCTGGTGCTTTGGTGAATAATGTGACCCCCCCTCTTCTTTTTGGCAGCCCCTCAAATACTGGAAGACTGCTATCATGTCACCCCTGTTTCTTCTTTTCTTTAGACTAGTCCTGCAGCCGTTCTTCATATATTTTAGTCTCTAGACCTTGGATCATCTTGGTTGTTCTTCTCTGATTTTTTTCCAAACTCTCAACATCTTTTTTGTAGTATGGTGACCATAATTGGTTATGGTATTTCAGGTGTGGTCTTAGAGTAGCTATGTGAAACTCTTGTTTCAGTATGTTTTTGTCCAACAGCATTTATGAAACTGTTCCTTAGTTCTAGTACATACAAGGACTAAGAAATAGTTTCATAAACTATTGTGGACATGACGTGCCTACCATATCTCTATATTATCAACATCTGCCAGCAGCAAATTGGCAGAATTTTCTCTTGAAAATTCTGTCATTCTACCATTTTAACCATTTTTATCTATTCCTTGTACTTTGACTTTTTCAGAAGTAGTATTACAAATATTCATGGGAAGTAGAGTCTCTCTCATTGTTTATTCTACAGTTTTAAGTCAGAGATGTTTCAGTTACCTAACAATTTATCCTTAAATCTCAGCTAACCTCAAACAGATGTGTAATCACTGCCCATTAGATGCATCAACCACATTTGGCAGCATTCTGTATCTTTCTAAAAAAACATTCCTTTGTGACTCCTATCATAACGATACCAGAGAAACCCAAGA